GAAGGGGGCCTACAAGGAAGCAGGGAGTGGGACTTGTTACAGGGGCCTGTAGTGACAGGACAAGGGGTAACAGCTTTAAATTGAAAGTGAGGAGGTTTAGATCAGGTATCAGGAAGAAGTTCTTCCTGGAGAGGGTGGTGAAACACTGGAACAGGTTGCCCAGAGAAGCTGTGGATGCCCCATCCCTGGATGTCTTCAAGGCCAGGCTGGATGAGGCTTTGAGCAACCTGGTCTAGTGGAAGGTGTCCCTGCCCATGGCAGGGGGGGTGGAACTAGATGATCTTTAAGGTCCCTTCCAACCCAAACCGTTCTGTGATTCTATGTTTCTATATGTCAGTTTGTCCTTAGTACTGAAGGGAGGCAAGAATTATTTAGTCTCTCGTTTCTTTTTTTTTTTTTTTTTTAATGAAGAAAATAGAATACTGCCTTTTAGTAAGGCTTGGAAGAGCTGCTTACCTCACACAGAGCCTACGCCTGAACTGCAGAACTGCAGCCTATTTTACCCAGGCCAGTCTGTTTATCTGCATGATGAACTTTTGCTTCTTTTGACACTTGCCTGTCTGCTCCAGCTGCCATTGGCTGTACCTTTGTTTTCCAAGAGCTGCGGCAGCCCTGACTCTGCTCCATCTCTGGCCTCCCCAGGTGGAAGTCCTTGCCTGAGCATCTCTGGGCAAGTACCATGAGGTGTAGGATGTAACTGCAGGTGTGTTGCGCATCGTGGCGTTAGGGTGATCTCTCTGGTTTTAGTGTGCATTTAGTTCATTTTAACTGAACGCCTGAGAAGTTTATTTTTGTGTATTTAGGGTTGTTTTGATCATTGTTCTACACTGGAATTGGCTTCTTTTTTCAAGAATGTTGTCATCTTCTAGTACTGTTGAATGCAAAGACGGAGCATGTGGCTGCTGTTCCCACTGAGTATATCCAGTCTTACGGAGCAACTGGTTGTCACAAGACAGCTCCGTAAGACAACCAGTCTGATGAGGCTGAACTTGCACATGTGGTTCTTCCCTTTGAAGTCTGTGATCAAGAGCTTGTGTGCACCAGACAGCTTTCTTAAACCAAAGAGCCAACTGCTTGACAATAGGAGCCAGACCTTTTAGAGCAAAGGGGTTTTACAAAACAATCTTCTGACACCAGTGTGTTTAATGTGTGGTCTGCAGCCCCTTGGGGAGTCGGAAGCCTATTCCTCAGGGTTATGAAAGGCAACTAAGAAAAAGAAACCTATTGTCAGGAGGCTGTAATCCGTTGCCCTTTTCGGGTCTGTAAATTGAGAAAGGTTGAAAACTACAACTCTGTACATGTTAAACTTACCTGAGGTCAGAGCAGCCCGTGCTGGACTCTGTTACTCGTTGTTTCTTCTCCAAACACCTTTGGAAGATGCTGCTTTTCAGTCTGAGATCTCTAAGCAGCCCTGCTGCCCTCCTCTTTTGAGAAGAGAGCTTTCTTTTTCAATTGGTCCGGTCCATTTGATTTTCTGCTTCAGAAATCATCTTGGCTGTGCTCATCAAAAGCCCCACTGCTGTTAAGTGTCAGCTGCTAGGAAATAAACCCCTCGGTTAGGAATCTGGGTATTTCTTCTGACAAGTCGTACCTGATTCCTGATGGGTGATTTATGTTGAGCCATTCTTCTCCCTCCTGCTTGGTTTTACTTGCTGTACCTTTCGTATTCTCTTAGAAATTAATACTCTTAGAAATAAATATGGCATTAATAGAGTAATATAGGTCAGCCACTTCTGCCATACACCTCCATGCTATTTTTACATTTTTTCACTTCTTTTTACTTTAAGTTGTTCTTAAATTTCAAAGAATATGTGATATTTTTGACTACTGCCTTTTACTGATATTCAGGATGTTAGAATAGATTTGGAATAAAAATAGAACATCCTGTATCTAAATTATGATATCCTATAGTTTTTCTAATGCATTATTGGTATAAAGCACGTGGAAAATATTTTCTTTTGCAAGGGTAACAAATTAACCTATTCATGTTTGGGTTTTTTTTTTACCAGTGGTTGTGCTTGTGTAACCAAGATACACTAAGGTTTTATGTGATCTGCCAAGAGAAATCGGGAGCTACAGTTTTGGGAAACTGTTATAACTTTTTGGAATGAACTTATGGGATTTTAACACATAACGTTATCAACTGAGAGTAACAGTTTTTCAGACTCAGTGTTTGGAATAGAATTGTATTTTCTGTAAAAATCTATAGGGCCTGTTTATGGGACCACAGTTATTCTTTATTCACAACATTTAAAAGAAATAAAATCCTCTTTCAAAAGAACACTGTTTGAAACTTCTAGCATTCATTTTATGGTAGGGCATAACATTATATGTTAAGTTAATAGTTTTCCAAATGATACCCGGGTTTAGTCCATCCATATAATGCTGTGCTGTATTTTAAGTGTCTCAGCTGTCAAAGCGCACACGTAACAAAAATCGTGGGTTTTTTTCTTACTCAAGCAGACATTTTGTTTCCTCTTTGTCCTTGCTCATGTAATTATGTTCTCTGGAAGGAGTATCTTGTCATGCAAAGACACGAAAAAAGCCATCTCCTAATTACCACACATAAACTATTAATTGCTTCATTTAAATATGTGGCTTACAATTATGGTAACTAAATCCCACACAGTTTATTAAGTTGAAGTCTGTTGTAAACAATGAGTGAAATTTAATTGCGGTCTCAGAGTACTGCAATAGATTTCCCTTTGCCATGATTGAAATTGTGTGCTCAGTAGACTGGTTAAAGCCAACAAACAGATAATCATATCTAGTTTGTGCTCTTTCTGAGACTGAAAAAGTAAAATATATGCAAATGTACTTCATTGTTTTTAAACTCTTATTGGTCTGGGTTTTGGGGGTAGGTAAGCCACATGTACTTCAGGAGGTTTGGAGGAAGAGTTCTCCCCTGGCAATAAAGGGAAGCAGTATCGGGACTGTGGGTTCCTCCCAAAGATGTATAGTCTGGTTTTGGCCTCTCAAGCATACGTGCAGCTGATGGAGAAAATGTTCTTCCTCATATCATATAAACACTTACTGTGCATATCTGGGAAAGGACATACCGTTCACTCGCTCTAGTACTGCCACTATAAATGTTAAATGTATCCAAAATATGTGTTTTGTATAACATAGTTTAAAATTATAAAATGCCATTTGCAAATGAGACACTAACAGTAGTGGGATTTGCTTCCCCGTAAAGATTGTGTCTGGTAAACTATGCAGAAATATTCAGGAAGAATACGCTTTGTGCATCCAAGTTCGAATTTATCATCAAACGGAGTGTTTGATTAAAGTTCTGCTTGGCAAAGTCTGACTCTCCTTTTTGTATATTCCTTCTGCTTATGGCAGCTATAGTGCTGTATCTCTGAAGTTTTCCTTCATCCCCAAGAAAGATAAACTTGGGCTTTTATGTGGTGTTTCACTGATTTGATTACTAGTAACGTAAAAAATGACTTACAAAATATGTGTGTAAAAAGCTTACCATAAACTAAGATACCATGACATCCTCCATACCATTGTTTTAAAAGTTTATTTTCCAAGTTCCATTGCGGATTATTAACAGACAGGGTCGTCACTGTATTTTCCCTTGCACGTATGTATCTGCGCATGAAGGAAATGTTTGCATTTCATAAAAGCAGCCTGAAGTGAGATCAAAATGGATGTCCAGTCACAGCATACACACAAGATTTTGTGTTTTAAAGACAAGATTATTATGTCTTGGAAATTAAAATAGTTACCTACATTCAACTGAATGATGAGATAAGGAAAGCCAGCAAATTATAATACTAGGCCTTTGTAGTTAAAAAATAAATAAAATCTTACACAAACCTGTTAGCTTCTTAGAAAGCCTAACTGTCGGTTTCCCCCCCAAATTTATAACAGAAAACTTTTTCAAAGAAGTACTGTGAAACCATGAAGAGGTCCAATCCCGATTTACTTTTCACTCATGGTGTGCAATGAAAATGGGCCATGGTAAACATTTCTATAGTCATTCTTTGAAGACTGGATCCAACTCAGCCTATTTGAGGTTTTGATTCTGGCTGGTAACTTTCAGGCACAGATTCAGCTGCTGGCCTTTTTTTTTTTTTCCCCCCCCTTCTTCCTCGCTGTGATTACTCATGTGCAGAATGTTGAATATTATGTAGAGATTCTGGCAATTTCCCTAACTATGGTGTAAATGTTCCTGTTTCTCTCTATACCAAAGACTGCCAAGAACAGGGTATTTTGGCTTCTGTAGCACCAAAATGAACATCTTCTGATGCCAACCTACTAACTTAGAATAAACCTAACTTTCTTACTCTAGACAGCGCTGTAGAGCAAGCACACTAAAACAGTTCTAGTCACTTGAAATTTTCATGTGAAGCTAAGATGGCTTTAACAATTGAGTGTGTTGAGTATTTTCCGACCTCTGTACTTGTGCATCTGCACTCTGGTGTTGTCAGAGTTAAAAGGTCAGTACCTTGCAAGCTAGTGCAATGCGATAAGACATAGCGGGAATTAGGTGAGATTGTTTGAATCCGACATACGTTAACTCAGATTCTGCTTTCAACCAGGCAAAACTCAATGGTTCTGGTGTATTTCAGAGTGTGCAAAGTAAAAGGGCAGCATGTGAAATTCCCACCACCTCTAGAATAAAAAGTTCATCGTTACAAGCCTGAACAGATGAGATTTGCCTAGTTCCCTACATGTATGGCTGCGGTCCAAGATTTTTTCTGAGGCCATTCCAGCTGCCATTTTTAGGAAACCTTTTGGTATAGGATGGCTTTAGTAAAATCAGCAATACCTCAGGGCCCAAATACATGCTTGAATTTTCAGACTGTGTGCTTACAGTGGGACTAAGACATACTTTTATCAGAATTAGCTTTTTACAGTGTAAAGGGTATCCAAACTTACTAAATTACAAAATGGTTTATTTCTTATTTTTTTTTTTTATATAAAAAGTCATTATGTCAGAAATATGTGACTGTTAAACAGTGTGTTTGTGAGTATATCATTTTTACTGGACACATACCTTACTCACACATTTCCTTTCTGGCTCCTAAAGCCCAAGACTTAATCCAGGAGCAAGTTCAGTGGGTTTTTCCCCAAATGAGGGTGAACGCATCAATCTCCTGGTTTTTATACCATAATAGCAAACCAGTTATAGTTGCCTGTTCACAGAGGTGAGGTGAAGAGCCCGAGTGGACTTTCTCTTTGGCTGTTGTAAAGGTAAACACCATCTTGTAAAAATCAAGGCAGTAAAAACACATCCTGCAATAGCTGTGCAGGGCCCTAAAATGTCTAAGTAGGCCCATTACAACTTCCAGTTCAGTGCAGTAGGCAAACTTGTTTTATGTTTTTTAAAATATGTTAATCTTCATTTTAGTCCTACATTACAGACTACGGACAAAATGATGCAAAGCCATTTAATGAAATGTCATATGCTCAGCATGTCTAGTATTCGATTTACAGCATAAGTCTGTAGAAGCTCTAATGATTTAGATTTCTTGATAATCAAAGACTTTTATCTGATTGAAAATGTATGGCTGTGCAAGCATTTGTCAAGCTATAAATATTAAAAAACTTATGTCTGTGCTCTCCAGGTGATTTGTAGTAATTTTATACCAACCACCTCTCGTTTATGGGTTTTTTTTAGGGTGTGGTTTTAATCTGATAATTTCTTTTCCCAAAAGCAGGAACAAGAGACAAGCTATACTATTCTGAGAGCCAAAGGCACCAATGTTACCATCAGTGGCCTCAAACCTGATACCACCTATGTCTTCCAAATTCGAGCCCGAACTGCAGCTGGATATGGGACAAACAGCCGCAAGTTTGAATTTGAAACCAGTCCAGATTGTATGTACTTGTTCAAATGGCTTATACTAACATCTTGCCCAGTTTCTGACTGATTTGAATGCATGCTTTTGCTCATTTTCTGGTTTAGTAAATGTGAATCAGCTATTTATGATGGTTTTTTTCTGGGTAGAGTTACTATATAACTTTTATAATTTATTTTTATACTTGAAACATGCTATAAAGGGTATACCAGAACTATCACAGGTGGTATTTTCTTCCATTCCCTACTCGACCTCTGCCTCATGCCAGAATCGATACCTTGTTAGACCACAGCTCCTGCCAACGGAGGAAGTTTGATAGAGAAACAGATTCACAGCCTCGTGGTGTTCCAAGTTTGTGACCTGAACCCTATGGTCTATAAACCCCTGCTCCTAGAGAATTAATACTATATTGGTCCATTACTCCTGTGGGTCAGTGTGTTAATTCTCCACACTACTGCGTAACATTGCTGATGTCTCCTGCATAGCCTTGAGATTAAACTAATATGCCTAGGCTGGGAAGGATGGGCATTCGGTTGAGTAGCTGGTCAGGGAGTTGCGCTGTCTAGGTCCCTTCTCCTCTCTGTCACTACATTTCTGAGTGGCCTTGGGGAAGTTATTTACTGGTCTGGCACTCCTTTTTCTTTTCGCTAATGCCTCGGTAATAACGTTATGTAACTGATGACCTTATAAGTTTTCTGTACAAGTTCTGTTATTATATCAAAAAGACTCAATAGAGCTCATAGTCTTAAATGTTACTTTCTCATCACTTGGTACGATACAGTAAATCAGACCTTCTCTTTGCTAGAAGCTGAAAGTGGCTTAATGCATTGAAAAGTCAGCCTTTGCTTAGTTACCCAGTTACCGATGATGTGTAACCAAAGACTGATTTTTGGAAGGTCAGGCTTTCACAGAAGCCTCGTATCTGCTGTTGGTTAGAACACAACTAAGGACTGTAATTCCAATACACTCTCATACGGATTATTCATGTACTCATCATAAGGCTTGAGAACCCATGGTGTCAGAAGCGCTCTGCTAAAAGCAACAAATTTTTAATCAAGAAGAATAGTATCAAGGCAAATAGTCTTTCACTTGGCTTCCATGTATTTTTGAGATATGTTATGTATTTCATCCCCACTTCTTCCTCTCCCACCTCAGCTCTTATTCTGAAAGGCAAACAGGCTTCTTGTCTAAGAACAGTTACAAGTCGCTGTTACGGTGACATGCAGCTTTTGCATACTGGATGAAACTGGAACTTGCGACAGGACAAACAACTACAGCAAGGAGAAAAAAAAATCAGTTGCAGTGATAATGAATTTCATAATCTAGAGGTTAATGAGTTTTCTCTGCAAAGTTACATTAAAAAAAAAGGAAAAAAGTAGCTGTCTGAAAATGTGGAAGGAGACGGGCGATAGTGGTTCACACCTCAGCAATGAGTGTACAAGTTACACAGAGGGACAGCAAATCGCATAACTTTGTTCTATTGCCAAGTCATCATAACCACGCGAGTGCAGCTGTAGGTCTGTAATGGGCAGAGGCTTCTTCCCAGGGGAGGGATGGTGTGACTCCAAGCAGCCATGGGCACAAACTGTCTAATTTGTGGGGACCGGGAGTGCTAGCTTTCAGCTGGCTTTGGGCAGCTCACTTGAAGCATAGTGCTGAGGAGCCTAATTCTGCTCTTCTCAGTGAAATTCGATAGGTGTCTGCTGAAGATTGTCCTTAACACCTAAGATCTAAAGGTGCCCTGTCATTGTGTAGCAGTCAGCGCACCGGAGCTTGGGGAGCATCCAACATAAGGCAAGGAAACAGCCCTTCTTTCTCCTCTAGTCATTGATTAACCATGGATAGTCCTATCTGCTTCTGTGTGCCCTGGCTTTTCACAACCTTCACGGGGATACTGTCAAGCTTGACTGGGAAGCTTAATTCATTAAAGGACGTTCATCATACGGAAGTGAGAGTAAGGGTGATAATTATTGACTGGTTGGGATTTCTTGCCAAGGAAAAATTCCTTACTGACCATAAAAAAATGTATGTATGTTATGGTATGTATGTTTGTATTTCCATATGTATTTATATATAAAGTATCACTTTAACAGCAGTCATTGTGATCAGCAAAAGTAAAAATCAGCAGCAGCAGAAACAACTTCGGTAAATTGTCGAAGATGGCCAGAGTCTTTTGTTTTCTTTCCTTCCATTTATTTGTTTGATGAAAAATTACTTAGTAGATGAAGTATTTGGCAGGAGACCAAATGCTATATAGTGATGACTTAATCTGTCTGTTCCCCTATATGAGTGTCAGTTGTGATGTAATCATTATGTGTGTGGGGGGGTTATTTATATATTTTTGTGTTAACTTTCCAGCATTCTCCATTTCCAGTGAGAATAGCCAGGTCGTAATGATTGCCATTTCAGCGGCAGTGGCCATTATTCTCCTCACAGTTGTGGTGTACGTCTTGATTGGGAGGTTAGTTTGTCGTCTGGTTTGCACATTTACTCCTGCTTCCGTTTCCCCGAGGGGCCTTGATGAGTATGGCAAATTGGGTGGCGTCAGGCAGTAGCATGGCTGGTTTGCGCCTTCTCCTTTGTCTGCTGCCCAGGAGCTCCCAATACTGCTTCGTGCTCGGTAATGAGCCCGTGAACGTTAGCAGCCCAAATCATGCAGCAGTTGTTAAAAAATGCTATAAACACATTCTTAGGCAACTGTAAAATTAAACTGTAGGGGTCAAAAATCAACAAATCCTCTCATTAGCCAATTTCCTCAAATTCCCTGAGAACATAACATGCCTCTATAGGGCACAGAGAATGTAAATATCATTAAACTTTCAAACAGGCATTTAATTGTGGAGGGAAAACATTTTATTCTGTTTCCACCTGCAGTTAACATATAAAATTCTCTGTATTAATTTTTTTTTTTCTCTGTTCCTTGTAGATTCTGTGGATACAAGAAGTCTAAACACGGCACTGATGAAAAAAGACTGCATTTTGGGAATGGCCATTGTAAGTTACTGAAGCCTTTTAATGCTTCCAGATCTGTTGAATTCATCCCCTAGATAACTGGTATTTTTCAAATTAAAAAAAAAAAGTCATACCTCACTTAAATCAAGGTGAAATTGGGAAGAGAATTATCTCTTCTCTTGTGGGTAAGGAGATTTTCCCCAAACAATTATTCTTTGTTTCAAATTCTTTCATCTGTGTCCAGGTTAGTAATGAGCAAAACATCTCTGTCTGTGTTCAAACAATGCATGTGGTTAGCAATATGAAATTGATTCTGCTGTGTATTACTGAAATGCAGAGTGTAACTTCTACTTCCTCATTATCAGCTGTATGAAGTTAAAGAAATGACAGGGTTTTTTCTCAAAGCAAAATATAAAATCAATGAAACCTGTCTTGAGGACTGCTGAAGTGACTGTGAAAACTGCGTCCTTGACAAAGTTGACCTACTGATAATTTATTTAGGAATTATTCTGAGTGATTTGGAGTAGTTTCTTGAATTAGGAATAACTACTAAACAAGTATCTCACTAATTAATACTTTTTTTTTTTAAAATCCAGCTCTGTTTACAAACATGTTTTGTTCGGGTCCTGATTACCCATTTTCAAGAATGAATATGTCTATGCTTTCTTTGGGTCACATGCAGGAGTAAGAAGAGAACTTCTCTATTGACTTAAGTTGTCTTTGTATCACAAAAATTGTATATAGGACGTGAGATGTTAAGGATGTGAGGTGTTGCTCATCCCGGGGAATCTGAGCTACTTTTGAAACATGTTCAAAGGCCCAACCCAAAACCTATCTACTCCCAATGTCTGCATACCTATTTTTAATAAGACTAAATGGGACTTTATTCATGGCTACTCTGGGTCATTTGGCTGTGCCCTGTGAAAGGAGCAATGTGGAGCAAGATCCCATCTAGATGATCAGGGGAAGAAGTGTTGATTTGCTGATCCCAGGCCTATGTCCTGGCTACCAGGAAGAAGTAGCCGGCTATGGCCTGTGTCTGGAGGAGAATGTTGTCCTGCAGTATTTCAGCTCTTCTCTCATCCTGGATCGTCTCTGCAGTGTGCTTAACCCTGCAGCACTTTTCTGCATCAGAGGAGCTGTGGGTCGTGAAGACTAGATCACAGTCAAGGCTCCATTCTATTTAAAATAGAAATAAATTAGTTTAGGAGCAGGAGAAGCTGAGGGGAGAGGAAGGTGATAGTTTAATATTCCTCATCAGGAGTAGGGAGGGGATTCTTGGGGGTTTTTATCACTGCATTTTGGATATTTATTCATCCTTACAGGGCAAAGAAAAACACATAAACAGCCCTTCATAAATATCCAGACTGGAAATTCTTTTTTTCAGTCACAGAATTCCTGGTGTCTAATGAGCATCTTTTTAATAAGAATCTGTATTTTATCTTTTAAACCATTTCAGCTCCAGATAAATATCCTTCTACACCGTGTAAACCGTGTTGAACCATATATTTCTATTGCTTTGCATGCTGTAAGGTTAATCTACGCGTGTTTTTTGCACACAGCAGTGGTGGTGTACCATCTGCAAGGAAAGAGCTGTTGGTACCATAATCAGATGCCTCCCCACCAAATATAATCAAATTAACATTTTAATGAGGGATTTACCTGCAGTAGTTGGAAATTAGAACTGCTTCCTAATCCCCATGACAATGGAGTAACTGTTCTCTGACTGTTCATATTATTATTATTATAAGTTTGAGCCCTTCCTTATCTCCAGAGAGCCGCGAGCCTGGATATCCACAACACGTGTGCTGCTTCCCTTGCACTGTCAGGGGATACACAGGCTGTGTACCAGCGGGTTTGCTTCGTGCAGCCCAACAACCGCTAACCAACCAGTCTCAAAAAAAATCTACGGTTACATGTGGCCCATAGAATTAATGCTTCATCATCCAAATTTAATGAGGTTATAAAATAAAAGCAGCCAGTAAAAAAGGTGTCGCAGACAAATAACAGGTCGGAATTTGCTCTCCGTACTCCCACACAATGGAAAGTTGCAATCGCTATTCTTAAGTATGTCAGTGCTGTTAAATTCCTGTGGATTAAATTGCTTTTAATTTGGCTTTAGATATTTATGTACTGTTTTCTGAGCAGTGCCATGCTGATTCACTGTGTAGTACGGACAGAGCCAATGCTGGACGTGGTATTTCTCTTAGAAATTCTTAAATTGATTTATTGATTTTGCAGTTATTTATCTTTTAGGATTTGTGTGTATGTACGTGTGTGGCTGTTGAAACTTTATTCAGCTAAATTACAGTCTTTCTCAAAGAATAAGGAAATTGCTCCTGTGAACTAAAAAAAGGATAAAGTAACTTCCGTGGCTGTCGTAAACTCTCAGCATCTTAAATACAGCAGCTGGTTTATTTCAGTCAGTTTATTCTGAATTACTTTAAAAAAGGCTCCAGCCATGAACTATTCCCTGCAGCCTTATTACAAATCCTATAATGGTACTTCAAAGGAGCAAAAATGTTTCACCTCCTCAGATCCTCTCCCTTTGCCTCCTTTGGCTAGGCCCTTTTTATTTTTTTGCTACCTTTAGGGCAATTCATGCTGTTAAAATGAAAATGTAAATTATTATGTTTGCACAGAACGAGCTGTAAAGTAGTACAGCTTAACACATGTGCATGTGTTTATTATCTGTTTTTCATGACAGAACCCAGTTACTATACAGGCTGCCCTTAATTATTGGCGTGAAGGGATTATTCTCCTTGCAGCCACCATCACCTGATCTTGGGAACCTCTGGGGTCAGTGTTAAAAATCTGCAGCCAAAAACCCCACAGTGCAGAGGCTTTTAATTGTTGTTATTTTTACTGGGGGTATGAGGGAGCCGGCAATGTACATTCAAAATGGACGGAAAGGAGCATTTACAAGATTTTTAACCAACAGCAATATACAGCCAATTACTTTCTGTTTTACTTGCAAGTAATTCTGTAATCATAAGGCTCTTGAAGGAAACACAGTTGGCATTTAATGCTGCGAACACGCAGCCCTTGTGTTAAGAACACGGCTCTTAGTTTGCATTGTTTTCGGGGCAATTAGCTTGGGAACTCAGTTTTATCATTTCTTTGTCAATTCTGAGGGCAGTAAATTGCCGTAAAATTGATTTTTTTTTTCCTTTTTTTACATACACTGGGGATTGTTTGACAAAACAATGGTGTGCTCTAACTAATGATCCAAAGGTATTTCTTTCCCATCTGTGTAACCCCAACAAAAAAGGTTTAACTATTGTAGCAGTCAAAAAATTGGTGCATTGTAATAATGCCACGCTGGAAAGGATATTCCTGAGTGGGTTATGGCAGTGTTTGTAGGAGGAGTTAATGTCTTTTATGAGACCAACTGGTACAGTTAGGAAAAGCTAGAATACATGTCCAGGAATGCAGGTTTTTTGTGCGAAGCAGAAAACTTCAAGCTGGATCTAGCAGTTATTTCACTTTTTGTTAACATGTCTGTGTTCTGAAATGGACACAGAGGCGGGCACGCACAGTGCTGGGTACAAGCACAGGCAGGGCCTTGAGCTAGGGAGGGGGAATGAGGCTACACTTTGCCTTCAGCTTCTTTGCTGGAGAGAAAAGTTGGGAATGATAATATACTCCTCCCTCTCCATGTCCTGCTGGAGGAAGAGATGTGGAGAGTTGGAAACTGGCCTTAAAACCATTCAGTCATTTGAACTAGCACTTGCCCTGGGCAAACAGAACAGTCCTTGGGCAGGTAACTGTAGAGGGGAACAAAACATGGATGTTAAGGTAACTTAGAACCAGACTTTAGTGATAAGAGCTGCCATCCTTGTGTGTGTACTGGCAGAGGGGCATTAGTTCATGTATAATCCTCTTTTCTTATGCATCCTGTTGGAGGACTCAGAAAGAAAAAGTTTGAGTTAATGTGCTCTCCTTAATATATTCCTAAGAATGTTTCAGTTTGACTGTAGCATCACACATTTTGTTCCTTGCCTCTTTGTTGTCACCTTAAAAGGGATAATATAAGGCAGCACCCAAACTCAGCCAGCTGGGAGGGTTTACTGTTTTAATATTTGAAAAGCAGCTTAATATGGCAAGTGTAGACATATTTAAAATAAATTTTCAGACTTCTGTGCAATAAGTACGTTAGTGTCTCTGGTTTTACTCTATATTAAGATTCCTGAAGACCTATCAAAAGCAATTTTATGTGAAGAAGCAGTATACCTTCTATTGATTTGATTTCTATTGTCTCATGAGCTTTCTTTAGAAGGATTAATGAAGTCTGTCTAACATTATTTTCTCTCTGAATTTTTTTTTACACAGTAAAACTCCCAGGCCTGAGAACTTACGTAGATCCGCATACATATGAGGATCCCAATCAAGCTGTGCATGAATTTGCCAAGGAACTAGATGCTTCCAATATATCCATTGATAAAGTAGTTGGAGCAGGTAATGACCATCAGATATATTGAACTGTAGATAACTTTTTGCTCTATATACTGTTTTACATCTTTGAGATTTTTACTTTTGACTGGAAAGAAAAGTTCTGAAGTCTTCAAATTAGTGGGTCATATTTACAGATGACTCCAGTGCCTATGAAAAGTTAAGGGCACACAGTTCTATTTGCTTTCCTCAAAGAAAGCAGATAGCGGGACACTTTTTCAAAGGACACCCGTCAGCCCACACTTGGATGCAGCATTGTTGGGAGTGAAAAGTGTTTGTCTTTAAATTCTGTCAGCAGAGAAAAATGGTATCAACTGTGAAGATGTTTTCTTTTTTTCCCCTTAAAAGGACTGTTGACTATTATTCCTTGAGCGAAAGCACAAACTCATTTCATACTAGTCACCATGCATCCATCAGACTGTAATGACCTTTGGTCATTGGATTGATTTTGGTCACTGCTTTGGATTTGAATTATCGATTCATGAGGAGAGGGTTGTCTGTCTGATAACTAATTGTCTGAGCCATGCAGACTCCATAGGTGGTTGGGTTTAGGGAAAACAAACCGTTGAAATGAGTAGATTTTGTAGCAGAGGAGCCAGATTGCAGAGTCTCATCACACTGACTTGTCCGTGCTGCAGTGCAGCATGTAGTTCCGGACAGGATGTGTGCTTGCTCCTTGAAGTGGCAGATTGTCTCATCAAGTCAGAAGATCATGAAGTGTTAGTTTTCCTGCTAAATTAAAGCACTTCTGAGAAGTACTATTGATTTTTAATCCATTGAAAATTGCTCGTTCTTTTATTATAGATTTTTTTGCTTCTCTTTATATTTAACTATTTGAATTAAAATCATGAGATGTGAGAGAGACAAACTCCTAGTGTACAGCAAAATATTTTCATTTGGAAAAAAATTTAGAGCCAAGGTACTGTACCCAGTGCATCTCCTGAATCGCCCAGTAAAAAGAAACAGTATTCATCCTCTCTTACTGCAGCTGCTCAGCTGCTTGTATGAAGTTAGGTTATTTTCTGCAAAGGTAGAATTTTTGTTCCTTGCTGGTTTAAATTTTGCCCCACAAGAGTGCACTGTTCTCCACCATCTTCAGTCAAGGCAGCAAAGCTCTGCTTGCTGCACATAATAGAGAATTAATATGGGGATAGAGAAGGGGGTTATTGAAAAGCTAAATCCAAGAGCAGTGTGGTTACTTAATAAGACTTTCAGGAGCCCTGTATGCAGGATATGAATCTAGAAAACAAGTTCATATCAGTGCTATATTTTCTAGCTTGTTGTTCTGACCTATTTTTAATCAGAATGCACATGAGAATGAGAAGTAAACCAAACTTTGCCAAATATGGCTTCTGAAAATGGAAGAAGAGTTTTCTGAGATGCTTCAAAAAGGGGCTGTGTCCTAAAGGAGTCAGGTGGTTTACAAGTAAGTCACTTCGCTCCACTCCAGTGAAAGTGACAGTAGGATCCTGTAGGTCATCTCCATTGAAGCTTGGACTCAGAATAAAGCCACTTGTGGGAGACCATGTCTCAGACTCACGTAGCCTAAATTACATACATTACAGTTAGTATTTCCTATTAGCAGTTGCCAGAGATGCCAACAGGAAGAGCCAAGCAGGGAAGAACAGATGAACATTAGGCTATAGGATGCTGGGATCTTCCAGAATGTGTTCACAGCATCACTTTACATTGCCGTCATATTCAGCACTTGGTAGCTTTTCCATTTAGAATGAGTGCCTCCAAAGGCATTTCCTGTCTCTTACTTGAGTCAATGACTTATTTGAGTGAATGACCTGGTCTATTTCTGCCCTTCTCCTTTACAAAAGCAAGTGTGAATGAAATTGTAAAAAGACAATGATTTGAGAAGAAGGGATTCATTTAACTGCATTGAAGTATGACGTAAGTAATGAGACCTTCAAGTCAGGCAAGTAATCTTGATATTCTGAGGTAATACTTCAAGTAGTTTTTCAATGCTTTAGCCAGAAGTCTCTGAGAATAGAGGGCAGCTTACATAGCTTTGAAAACATACCCAAATGCAACAAGGAAATACTCTTGTCCAAAAGAACCTCAAGAAAAACACAAGGGATTTTACTGGGAGGCTAAGCATAAGAAAATTGAGGTCAGGAGCCACTTTTTCCGATCTTTCTTTACAGTAATTCTTTCTTTTAAAACAACTCATTTGTTTTTATGGATCCAGTTCAGCAAACCACTTAAGAAGTTTAAATCCAATTGGATAGCGAGGGAATACTAGAGAAAGTACTTCCTTGATTTGGGATAGATTTAACTATATGCTTTGCTGAACATGAAAGCCATCATTCGCTTGTCTTTCAAAGTTTAAACATATTTGTAGCACAACATCTTGTTGATTAAAATATTTCTAAAATTTAAGGGCCACCTGTCCATGAACTTACTGTGAAAGTTTGCATTGTCTCAGTGAGGGCTGGTAGAATGTTGCTGAGGTTCATGGGGTTTATGAAACATTCAGATTAGGTGCCTCTCCAACTCTGAGGGAGTTCTGTACACAGCGGTGCCATCGTGATCTAAAACACAGCAAAGCGAAGGGAGTAGCTAATTTCAGAGTCATCTTTTATTTATCCCCTGGGTCTAAATGCACAGCAAATGCCATTCACTGATTCACTAAGTAGCCTAATTAAAAAGAAATTAAGATCTCCTGAAGAGAGATTTTTATATCGTGAACAGCCCTCCTAATAATATCTATTTTCTAAATAGAACTTCTAAATTGTGCAGCCATGGTTAAATAGCACTGTGTTGACGGACATTAACCATAACCCTTTCCTTCCCAAAAGTCAAACAAGTCTCAGATATATGATTCCGGTCGGAAATGAAGGATTGATTGCTGGACTGCTTGCTGAAATCATAGCTATAGTCTCCATTGACAGTAACAGAACAATAGAGTTAAGAGGTTAGCTTGTTATAGCTTTTTGAACCAATAAAACATAAAGAAAAGTGAATATGAAGCTGGACATCACAAGATTTATTTCAAGTACTTTTTTTCTTTCCTTCTGTTTTCAAGATGTGCTTTGGTCTTCCTCTTTCTGGTGCTCTGACAGTTTTGAGCTGGGCTTAGTATTTGAACTGAGGCAGTGTTTGCTCTTGGTAAAATATACCAGTCATTTTGCCTTGTAGAGGTTGTATATTTTAAATTAAGTCTGAACAGAACTCAACACCCATTAGTTACTAGTAATAGATTTTCCAATTTATTTTCTGAGCTGCTGCCTGTCTTGGCAGCCTGAAATACAAATAATGTTAGAAAAAAAGGATTTAAGGTACACGCTGTTTTAGTAGTTTGTAGGTATATGAAGATACACCCCGGGTTTTACTTTTTGTTTATTACTTTAATAGCACAGTACAATGCCTAGAGGATGAAGCAGCTCAGCAGCTGGTGATAAGATGTGCTGACATTCTCTTCTGTGTTGTTGAGTCAAATCTAGCCTGGGTTAGCAACAGAGAAAGGTCATTGCCTTATGACACGTGGGTGGTGTTTTTTATTTTGGTTTGGTTTTTTTAATTGGCTGTCTAACAGAAACCTTAGCAAATAAAGCTGAAAAGTTACCTCAAGAGGTCATTAAGTCCACACCCTTGCCCAAACCAGAATGCATTAGGTACCATTCTTGACAGATGCTTATTACTTACAATCTCCAAAATGATCTCTTTTATTGGGCTAAAGGCTGCAAGAATTGGGCTAAGGCTGCAAGAATTGGGCTAAAGGCTGCAAGAATTAGGTTAAGGCTGCAAGAATTGGGCTTGTTCAGCCTGGAGAAGAGGAGGCTCCGAGGAGACCTCATTGCAGCTTTCCAGTATCTGAAGGGGGCCTACAAGGGTACTGGGAGAGGACTTTTACAAGAGCCTGTAGTGATAGGACAAGGGGTAACGGGTACAAATTGAAATCAGGGAGGTTTAGATTAGATATCAGGAAGAAGTTCTTCATGGAGAGGGTGGTGAGGCACTGGAACACGTTGCCCAGAGAAGCTGTGGGTGCCCCATCCCTGGAAGTGTTCAAGGCCAGGCTGGATGAGGCTTCGAGCAACCTGGTCTAGTGGAAGGTGTCCCTGCCCATGGCAGGGGGGGTGGAACTGGATGAGCTTTTAGGTCCCTTCCAACCCCAACCATTCTATGATTCTGTGATTTTGACAAAAGAACCTAAATATGCACGTATTGTTGGAAAATGAGTGTTAAAGCTCTCCATCAACACCCTTGAGTTTCCTGAAAGGAAAAAAACACCAAAAAAACCCCAACACAAAACAAAATCAACTTTCTTCTCTGTTCTGTAAAGTGTTTTCCTTGTCTTTAAATCTAAACTATTATGCAGGGAAACTATTGCCATCATTTTTCATCTGTATTTTGTTCATTCTCTGTTTTTATTGTAGTTTTTCATTATTTCAATTATTTTGTCATTAAAACAAGGAGACAAAAAGATGCTTCTGTAATTTTAACTGGGTTGTTTTATGTGCAGTTTATTGTATCATATGAAATCTAAGATGGGGGGTTGGATAACTGGGAATCAAAAATCAATTGCTGCTCAAAGGTTTTTTAAGATACTAAAATTTCATTATATGCTTTATGTAATCATTAGTTAAATATAGAAATTGTTAAGTGAGATATTTTCTTCCAGCAATTTGTCAGCATGTTTAATACTTTCTCAATTGAATGCTAAGATAATTTTCCCTGTGCACTCTTCTTGTATGCTACATAGCAAAAGATAAACCACGCTGTATAAAAATAAACTTGCGATTATATCTGCCGGTTTTCTATTTAGGGATCTCACACAATATAGCGTGGGCACAATATTCATGGTGAACTATCGGCTCCCACAGTCCTGTAGTGACATTATATATTTGCATTATTAGATGCATCTGAATAATGATGGAGCAAAAATAATCTGTATGGATTTATTTTTTTCTCTGCAGCTGTGTAAATAAATTCTTTTGTTATTAATTATCCTGCTACTTTAATTGAAATATGTAAATGATTGGGAACTGTCCTGTCTCCGGTAGAAGTGAAGAGTATAATGTTCACGAGGCTGCATGGCTTTTCTGATACTTCTGCATCAATCAGTTAGCCCTCCTACTGTTGTCTCAAATTACATCAACTGAAACAAAACAAGGAATTATATGGTGACATTTATGCATTCCTCTGCTCTGCAGTCATCTGGATATGCAGTGTCAGTAAGTGACCTTGTCCAGTTTGACAGCTGGAGAACCCGAGCACGGAAATGTTAAGTAGTTGTCTGAGGACCTCCTTTGGACCTCTGGTCTGAGGCCCACCAGTAAACATCACACTTCAGGGAGTTTTGCTGAACACTGAGTTTTATATCTTGAATCCTTGTGAAATAACTACATTCTACCTTTTGTTACTTTTTCACTTTTTTAGGGGAATTTGGAGAAGTGTGCAGTGGGCGCCTGAAGTTGCCTTCTAAAAAGGAAATTTCAGTGGCTATCAAAACCCTGAAAGTTGGCTACACAGAAAAACAGAGAAGGGACTTCCTGGGAGAAGCAAGCATCATGGGACAGTTTGACCACCCTAATATCATTCGATTAGAAGGAGTCGTCACTAAAAGTAAGATATGACAGGGGCATCTGTTTTGCATGGGAATTGTCACTGAAGGTCCCTTTACCCTAAATTGTTCTGTGATTCTCTGATCCTGGAGGACTTTGCTGGCAAAGCCGCTCCTTGCCATTTCAGTGAACTGCTTGAAACGTGCTGAGGACATGGACAGTTGAACTAGGTAGAAGTATACCAAATACTTTGTTGTTAAGTAGATGGTTTTATTGGTTTTAAGGAATCTTGTTTTTCAAATTGCGTGATTCAAGGTTTTGCAAACATAGACAGGGGTGAAAGAATTTCATAGCTTACTGCAATAAATTATATGAAATGAAAGCCCCACAAGAATGTGTCTAAAAATAACTAGTGAAAGGTAGGTAAAACCCTGTATGTTATGAAGAGACATAATTTCAATAATAATGCTTTCTTTAGGTGTGATTCATGAAAGTCTGTTTTGCTGATTTAAATAACAAAGAAGTTATTCTTCAGCTTAGGTCTCACGGTCCCCTTAGGAACGGACTGCCAGATCTGCCTGTGTAAATCCAAGTTATCTCCTGCTTTTTAATGACACACACTTTGTACAGTCAGAATAACATTTGCAGTCCCAAAAATTGCTTGAAGCGCCAGCATCAGTCTGTACACAGCTGAGCTAAAATCCATTTTATTACATTTTGTATTTCTGGAGCACTTGAGAAAATAATTTAATTGCTGTGCATGCAGGAATTTGTGCACTGCTTTTGAATGTGCATTACTAATTCTGTCTGTATTCTGTATAAGTGACTATTAGTGAGTTTGCTACTCAGCTGTATTCACAGTAGGCTGTTGTCTGTGTTGGGGGGGAGGGGGGAAGTGGAGGGTGTTGGGAGTGCCAGCTGCCTATCACATTTAGGTATGAGAGAGCAAGCTCTGAATATTCCCAGATGAGGTCAATAAAACCCTCAGAGATGCAACACCCTCTCCAGATCACTTGAGTACAGGAGTTGAGAAAACAGGTCTGAAAGTATTTGTATCCACTTTACTGAGTAAAATTACATGGCATAAATGCAAGTAAAGATGATAATTTGTTTTCTTTAACGTTCTGTAGGGTGATAGAAGGACAAGACAGTTGTACGGTTTGGGTTTTTTTTTTTTAAACAATCATATATACTGTACTAACAACTTAGCCAAGTGTTCATATTTTTTAATGATGGCTATTGAATCACACTCAAAGCTGTCAGTTTATGTACAGTCAGTAGAGATCCTGTGGAGTATTTGCTGGATCTCTCTTAGTACAGGTAGTGCATGATAAACTGGTGATATGACCTTTTCTTCATTAACCAAATTCGTTTTGACAGGTGGCCCTTAGCAATGATCTAGCTTTTCACACTAAGCAGATCTCAGAAGCAGCTCCTAGTAACTGCAGTTGTTTCAGTCCCTGTGACAGGGCTGTTTGGTATGAGAATCATAGAACCTTTTGGGTTGGAAAAGACCATTAAGATCATCAAGTCCAACCATTAACCTGGCACTGCCAAGTCCACCACTAAACCATGTCCTTAGCACCTCATCCACGTCTATGAAATTCTTCCAGGGAAGGGGACTCCACCACTTCCCTGGGCAGCCTGAGCCAGTGCCTGACAACCCTTTCAGGGAAGAAATTGTTCCTCACATCCAACCTAAACATCCCCTGGTGCAACCTGAGACCGTTTCCTCTCATCCTGTCACCAGTTACTTGTCAGAAGAGTGCGACACCCACCTGGCCACAACCTCCTTTCCGGTAGCTGTAGGGAGCAATGAGGCCCCCCCTGAGCCTTCTCCAGGCTCAGCAACCCCAGTTCCCTCAGCCCCTCCTCATCAGACCTGTGCTCTCGGCCCTCTGCCAGCTCCGTTGTCCTTCTCTGGGCACGCTCCAGCACCTCAGTGTCTTTCTCCTAGTGAGGGGCCCAAAATCTGAACACCCTGTTCACGGTGCGACCTCACCGGTGCTGAGCCCAGGGGGGCAATTGTTTCCTGAGTCTTGCTGGCTTGCTGACACAGGCCAGGATGCCGCTGGCCTTCCTGGCCACCTGGGCACACTGCTAGCTCACGTTCAGCCAGCTGTCGACCAACGCAAAGAAGTTCTCAAGCTGGGGTGGCTGTGGTGTGCCAGTCGCACACCCCACCGTCGGTAGGAAAGAGGTGCGTCCACCAGATAAGACTTCAGTCCTTTGCTTCAACGCAGAGTTGTTCCCCTGCCTCGCATTGATTTCTGTTTTGCATTTGCCTGCCACACCAGTCTCCTGGGCGCGCTGTAGGCAGTGGTCTTAATAGGCAGCACGCATGTTCTGCTTAGTTTACTAATAGTTTACAGCAATTTGTAGCCTGTTAGTATAATAAATTTCGGCAACACTGTTGACACAAGTTGTTATCATGTATAAACGGCTGTGCTTTGATAAATGAATGCAGAATGTTCTTTTAAAAGTGCACCATGTTGCTTCAGAGCATATGCTTCTGATTATGGGCACGTTTCCAACTGAACAAGAGTGAAACCCTGCACTTGGGGCTTTTTGAGTATGGGTGAGCAAGGCAGGAAGGTGCTCTCTTAATCGTTGGAAAGACATAGCTTCTTACTCTACTTTCTGTCTTCTGTTGTGTTGTAAAATTAACTGAGTTTATACAGAAACCAGGAAACTGTCTCCTGATTTCAAAGCATGTGGACTTACAGAAAATTCTGGGTAGCCCCATCAGTGTGCTGCCCTTTACTTGGAAGGTCCAGCAGCATTTTCTTTGCATTACCAGAAGTGCCTTTGAGTTAATGTTGCACAAACAGTACAAGTTAGGTACTGTTCCTTGCACTGCGTATTTCTTGCTAGAAAGAGTAAACAAGCAACATGTATTTATTTATTTTATTTAGAGTTTATATTTTTAGGTCTTTTATCTGTACCATACCCTATATAGTTCAAGATTAATGTTTTGGATACAGAGTTTGTTCCTACCAGGTAATACATGACAGAGTCCATTGCCCATTAGTGTGACTCCCACTATATAACACATCATTTGTACTGCAGAAATAAGATATTTTAACCCATTAATCCACTCAAAGAGAACAAAGGATTTTCTTCTCATTGTATTAAACACTTTCTTTGAGATTAATATATCTTCTAAAAATTTGTTTGGTAGAAATTGTATTTTCTGGGGGGAAAAAAAAGCCTAGAATTTACTCAGCTTTTCAAAAGTTACCATGTGCTTTGCTTTTTTAATGACTTTCTTGCTTTTAATTATAATGGATACCTCTTTCAAGCCTCATGCTGTTCAGCTTTAAAGGCTAAAATATCACCATGCCAGCTATACAATATGCAGGCCTTCGTCATGCTTTTATGGTCAGATGCCTTCTTGTATTATATGTGAAGTAATAATTCATCTCCTTAAATAACTTCACGCTCTTGTCCACCTTTCTTTCTACCAGAAAGAGAAAATAAACAAAGCTTCAGAAAATATTATGAAATAATAAAATCCATATGATGGTAAAATATTAGCAGGGCACCGACCTTTGTCTGGAAACTTCACCGTAATCACATTAATTTTTGCATTCGTTTCTCTCCAACATGTCAGAGTTGCACATAAAGTCTTGGTTATGTTACGGAATACCTTCAAGTTTTGAAAGATGATAGAGGCTTTTCAAGGGTGCAGGGCTGTTTCTTCAGCGCGTGCCGCTGCCCCGTGGGTTCTGCATGTTTGGCCCCAGCTAAGTTGTGCGTCGCGGGAGGGGAGATCCGTGTTGTCAGGAACCCTGCTGCGGAGGGAGGCAAGATCCCTTCCCAGCACTGGAAGGTGGCCCTGCAGTTCTTTACAGTGCCCTGTATTACTTTTATTCTGCCCTTTCCTTTCCATCTCTGTTCCCATCCAAGCATTTTCCTTGGCTCACACTAGGAAAATACTGGAGACCTGCAATTTAAATGTGTTGTAAATACACTCCTGAGGGAGAGGGTTTTTTGTTATTTTGCTAATGCCTCCGTGTATGCTATTTAATCCCTCCTTTACCATCATATCTGAGGAACATACTGACTGAGCCTGTGTGGTAGAGCACAGCTCCCCAGTCCTTGCACCTCTCTTGTGCAGACCAGGACACCTCTGGAGAGAAACTGCGACTCCCTCCACAGCAAGTGCCCAGTTCCTTTCCAGAGGGAACCTTGAGGCAAATGCATGGCAGAATACGCCTACTTCATTGCCTAAATTCAACAGTTATATGAAGGCTTATATTCAACAGTGATGGTTAAGACAGCGTATACTGAAAATGCAGGATGATTCACTTTGTGACTTGAACTACTAAAAATTGTATCAGTTTATGCTGAAATGACTGTATTTCTGTTGATGGCAGTGAAATCAAATTATGTTGTGGACAGAGCTGGTTTTGCCCATGCATCTTTTGCTTTCTTTCTAAATGTAAAATCATCCTTGGGATTTGGAACGTATAGGCACAATTTTGAAATGCTTGTTTTTACTGATTGTTATGTATTCATTTGAAATGTCTGACCTCTGTAACATATTTGCAGGTAAACCAGTCATGATTGTTACTGAATATATGGAAAATGGTTCCTTGGACAGCTTCCTACGGGTAAGTGCAATAGAGAACTGCATGGTGCAGGAGTGGCTCTTGTTCTGAATTTGTTCTTAATTTACTCTGATTCATCATCAGCTTTTGTTGCTTGATATTTCATTATTTCCATTTGGTTTTGAGTGCATTGTGATGTGCTCAGAATGCCAGGTAGGGATCTGCTGGTCCATTTTGACTACTTGCAGTGAATATTATTCCAAAATGAAGAACGTTTATGTTTTATTAGTATGTCACATCAATAAAAGACCAAAACAACATTCTGGCGGATAAAAATGGAAATTGTTTTCCTGAGGGCTGAATTGCTAATATAATGCTGTTACGCTTATTGGTTGGCAGCCTGTATGTCTTACCAAGCACTTTCCAAAGAGACCAGATTTGGGGAAATTTTATCAGTAAAGCAATAGTACTGAGCCAACAGCCGTTTCCCTAAATGTGAAAAGTTTAGGGAATAACCCCATACCTGAGGGTGTTTGAAATGTTTTGCTAGCAAACTTTATTGGCCTGTTTTCTTTCCCCAACCTTAGACATACTAATACTGTTGTTGATTTATCTTTGTTTTCTGTCAAAGTTGGTAGCGAGCCTAAAAAAATTTGAGCGCTCCCTGTGTCACCAAGATTTACTTGTGGCAAAACAAGAAGTATAGCAGAAATGAAATCCCATCTGAGGGGAAACACTAGGTTAATTTTAATTTGTTAAGGCAAACTCAGCTGTGGCTGCAAGACTGCTTTGGTTCTGCCATGGTTGAATGACATTATCCCCCAAATTCATAACGCTGAACTAGACATTTAACCCCAAAAGGGGATATATTGTCAACCTTAGTTTCAGTATGTACTATATATGTTATGATGTCCACTGGAGCATGTAAAATACGTATAAATAATGTGTCAGTATATCTGAATGAAATATATCTGTACATATCTGTACTGAACTGTATATATTTTGTTTAGGCTAAAAATTCTTGAAGAAAGCTCTGAGGGACAGAGAGTAATTTCTGACTGTACAAAACAGTTGTTCAGCTTGTTCATTCATTTGAGTGTGGGTTTTTGGGTTTGGGGTTTTTTTTACTACTGTTGTGTGGAAACATAGATAAGAATGTTCTGGCTGATTGATATCACAGGCCATACAACCCATTTTATAAATGCCTTTTAAAACTCTTTAGTTTGCTTTACCCATTGCCATTGAAAGGCTGTCTCAGCATCTCATTCCTTTCGTGATTAGAAATCTTCTGATCTCTAGCTAAATTTTTTCCGGGAGTTATATAGACCCTCTTGTGTTGGCTCTAATATAAGAAGGTTTCATAACAGGGAACTGCTAAGACTCTCTTATAATAATGAATTTTTTCATGAAAGGGAATTCTGAGAGGTTCTTTAAGCATCTGTTGTGTCATATATTTGTCTAATGTTTACAGTGCTAATATTGCCCCTAAGTATATTAATCAAAAATGAAATTAATGCAATCTGTCTTGCAAACTGATTCATGTGAGCTCACCCCACATGGCAAAGCCAGCTCCCATGTATTTAATAAAATTCTGAAAGAAGCAACAAGAAGAGCTGGAGAGCTGCCTATGATGATACATTTACAGCACTGGGGGATTCATTTGAGAGCTGCACATATCGTTGTCCTGTCATCTATGTATCTGCATATCAGTATCAAAGCTAGATGTTTAAAAACAGCGTTAGTAAGAGCTGGGAGATTTAAAACATGTGTCTCAAAGTGGATAATTAGAAATATATGCAGCTGTTGGCTTCTAGGCTAAGTAACATTGTGTTCAGGTGATCTTTGTGCTCCTGAAGTTGGGGAAAATTTTGAGGAATGAGTTCAAATTTAATGAAATTTGAAAGCCACTGAATCAGATCAGCATTTGCTTTTGTTAGAAAAAATGCTTGTATAATAGAAAACTTTCACTAATCCATTGGGTAAGGCTGGGGCATTAACAATTCCTATGTCCTTTCAGGGAAGTTGGACTTCTGTTTCCCTAATGTCCTGATGCACACGTCTTGGGCACACGTGGCTTAGATTTATGTGCCACTTTCACACAGGCCCCATCTAGGAAATTAAAATTCTGATGACAGCAAGAACAGGAACAATGAATTTTTATCTGAATTGAAAATCTGTCCCCTCTGCTGATTAGGGATTATCTTCTGCATTTCAAAGTAGTTCCACGTGTGGCATTTAAATCACAACCCCTGACTCACGAGCTTTTCACTTGAGGAGTTTCCAGGGTCTTTATCAAAAATTCTGTGTGAGGGGGAACATGAACAATCTCTGAAATGACACTTCAAATGTTTTCCAGAAACATGATGCCCAGTTCACAGTCATCCAGCTAGTAGGCATGCTTCGAGGGATCGCATCTGGCATGAAATACTTGTCAGATATGGGTTATGTCCATCGAGATCTAGCTGCTCGTAATATCCTCATCAATAGTAACCTGGTATGCAAAGTCTCAGATTTTGGTCTCTCTCGTGTACTGGAAGATGACCCAGAAGCTGCTTACACCACAAGGGTGAGTTGCTGTGTTTGTTTATCCTTTTAAAATTCTTGCTGGTTGTGGCTAAGTTAGACTGAAATCTGAGGGAGTGCCTGAGGCTTATGCTCAGTCTAGCAGAGGCCACCCAGCCTTACATGCCCAGAGATGTTCAGTAAACCATAAACTCGTCACAGCTATTTTCTAATTCATGTCTCAGAGAAGGTAGAAGGCGAAAAACGTGTTTTCTGTTGGTAGATTATTTTTATTAAAGTATGCAATATTCAGGGCTTAACTTCTTTCTTCTGGGTGCGTAAAGGAGTGAATATAACAAGTAAGGCCTGAGTTGATCTGGCATACAGTAATGTAAGACTTCATGTGTACTTTGAGCAGGTTTTGTTACACTGCTGATTTAGCTCCTATGCAGCAATAATTATTTTTTTACTCCTTTATTTTGTCTGATAGTATGATGGAACATGTGCCTGATTGGAACATACTGATATCACTGTTCTACAAGAGTGTACCAGTTATACCTGCTGTTGCACCCCTAGCTGAGTAAAAAATTGAGTAAAATGGAAGAAAAAATCTTGCTTAACAATGTAATAAATCTCCTGTGTCTTGTCCTTCTTAAATCATATCTACAAAGTAGTACCTGTCTTTTGGAGTTGTAATTATAGTAAGGAGGAGACTTACCTCTGACTGCTTTGTCCTGAGCTGGAGAAGCTTTTATCAGACAGAGGACTGCCTGTAGTGTAGGTTGCTGCTTGTTTCTTTTCTGGATTTCATCCTGCCTGAAAAGCTACCTGGAAGCTACATGGTTGGCTTCGAGCCTTAGAAAAGCCATAGTGTCTTCTAAATACAGCTGTGCTACGTCTCTTGTTCTCCCCTGAATAATTCTTCTGTTTTATTGTGGAAACCTTGAAGGCACACATATAGCTTTGTGTATGTAGATATTACACTGGGATGTCTGGTTGTTCACTTTAATCCCATTGCAAGTGGATTTTATTAACTTCAGAAAAAGTGGCATTAATCTCCAGTATCTTAGTCAAGTAGAATTTGCAGTGATGCTTAGTAATCATCTCCTCTTCACTGTACAAACTGGATTAGAGTAGAATGTATCAGCAAAATCTTCATGTGGGTTTTGTAGGGCTTCCTTCATTCCTGATCACTGACAGGAGCAATCAATTACTGTTGTAGTTTGCATGCTACCTTCCTCGTGATTGAAATAAAATAACATGTGACAAATGAGTAAAGAAATCCTAGCTGCTTTCTTGCCCATTATATACACATACATTTATAGATATATATTTATCAATCATACCTTCGTAACTTACTGGCCATAAAGCCTCCATTCTTTACTTGACCTTTCAGTGCTTTCGTTGAACTCTGATAAGCTTTGGCACGTTATTAGAAATTTGCACTATATACTGCCTTAGAAAACTGTCTGCAGAGGTCTCTCATGGTTAATATAAAGAGACACTAGTGGGAAAAAGCAGTTTTCATACTCAGTTATAGGTGCAGTATTCATAAGTAAATAATAACACAATGCAAGATTTCCTCAAGAGAAAATTGTCTGTAGTTCAGCCAGAGGTTTATTGCCTTATCAGATATGCTTGCCTGCCCTCTTCTTAAAAACTCCTGTGGAAGTAATGGTTGTTAGTGTCTCTGAGGTAAACAGGTTTAGATAATAGTATTTATCTAGTCTGATATTTAACCTCCTTCCCCTAGGATGTATGCTTGCCAGCTAGGGCAAGTTCTACCACTGCTGTCCATAGGCAGGTAATCGAGCTCCCCTTTAAAGCAGCTGTTTACATGCATGGAGATTGCTGTCCTCTTTGCACACATCCCTCCATTGGTTTATTTTCCAAGCAAGTTTTCCAAAGTTACTCTTCTTGCTATTCTTCTTCAGATGCTTTTCAGCTTCACTACATTTTCTTTAAATGCGATGCCCAAAATGGGATACTAATCCCCAGCACCAAGCATAGCATCTTCATTTCTTGTTTCTTAACATGCCCTTTCTGTTAATATCTCCGTGGGTGAGAAGTCTCTGTGTCTCCTTCCACCCCCAACACAGCTTTGCCACATGGTTGGCTCATGTTCTGCTCAGTTACATACATCTGCCAGGCTTTGAAGTTCAGTTCTCTTATTCCAAAGTTCATCTGCACATGCAAACTAGTCTATCATTTAGTAATGGCATTTTGTGTATTCACACAAAGAGCTGAAGAGTCCTAGTCAACTTAGATGAAAAAGTTGTATAAGGAGGAAAAGTAGCTCCCCATCATGCTGCAAAGCATACAGCTTTGTAAGGGAAGAACACTTCCCTGAAAATGAAGTGAATGTCAGTGAGTAGTCACTGACGTTCACTCACCTGCATTACCTGCAGGTGAGCTAGGACAACCAGGGCACACAGGGTGTCAGTGTTTCTGGCCACTGTTGACCTGTGAATTTCTTATGGCCAAGTGAAGTGTTGATTTCTTTTTTTTCCTTTTTCCTCATCTCCTTCACCTGTTTTCCATGCCTACCTATTTACATTTAGATAGTGAAATCAAATGAAAAGAAACTATTTTGTAAAGTGCAATTATCTATGCTCACTAAACTCTTCCTGGCATTTATGTGTATTTGCAAACCGCTGCAGCAAAATTCTCAGATAATTAAAACTTTCATATACAACCTGGGACAAAACTAATTTTCTTCAAAAGTAGTTGCTGAATATACCTCTGCCACATCTTGATGCTTTGTCCTTCTCTCAAGAAGGACAAAGCTAATTTGTGGTTCATCTCTTTGCTCAAGTTTCCTTTGAAGTGAATCTTGTATACGTGGTCGGGTAGCATGTCCCTGGAGTACGTTTGATCCCCAGCTGAAGCAACTGGGGACCATGAGTGTGAAACAGAGCTTGTCCACTGGAAGAAAGTTGGGCAGTTCATATTCCTGAGGCTTCATCACATCACAAAACACAGGACCGTTTCCTAGACAGCTCCTAGTGTGTTTCACAGGCACTAATTAAATGGCAAAACCAAGACAAAATAGTGCCACTTTTTAAAATAATGGTATCGTTCCAAACAATGTCATGTCTTTACAACTAAAGGATCACTACTACTCTGTATGAAGTTTGAAAAGACCAAAAAAAAAAAAAAAGCCAAGTTATAACACTAATGGGTAGAGACTTTTGCCTCCCCTCCACCTCTTCCCACTTCCTGTTCTCCATTTAGTGTCAGTTGTGCTAGGGAAATATATAGAATTGGCTGTAAAGATGGATGTTTTATCTATTTAGCCTCCTCTTCTACCCCTATTTTCCACCTATAAATGTCAAAGCCTGAGAACGATTCCATTGCTTTAATTTGTAATTGCAATTCAGGCTTGGTCTAGCCCCAAGAAGCCCAGTCAGCCCTTCAGTCTTTCAATACACACCACTGACTGCGTGAAATTTTATGTTGTTCTACTCTCAGAAGCTGTGTCTGAAGCTTTGCATAAAGGATATGGACATACATCCTTTTATATATCAATAATGTATGTATCCCTTTATATATCAATACATAATCTGTGATATTCATGCTGTTGTACAAGAGCTCTGCAGGACAATGCAGAGATCACAGGTGCATATGTGAAATACAGGGAATCAAGAGCTGTAAAAAAACTTTGCTACCTGACAGGGTCATTTTTTACCTCCTGAATTATTGTCACTGACTTGATACTACAAAAGGCCTATGGCAGCCTGTGGTCTGCCTGCTTACAGAAGCAGAAGCCAGCATGTGCATTAGGCTGACTGTTTGGATTTTTTTTTTTTAACTGAGCCTTTGTGCCAGAGAGGATGTACTGTAATTATCTACATTCTCCATACCTGTTCACTTTTAATTGAAAGGCCAAGATTGTATTAAAATTTTCATTGTCAAATTGATCCTTTTTACTCTTATTATTTTTAGATGTCTGTATGACAGGTAGGTGGACTAATGACACGGTATGAAGTGGAAGTAAATTTAAACCATCACACATGTGGAGGGACTGCAATTAAGTCTCTCAAAGGCATAATATTTGGGTAATCAGTAGACGAACTTTGACTATTTAAACACATAGTTGGATACCTCAGTGATATTACTGGCATTTCAGCGTAAATCACTGTCCAGTCACTATATTTGCATAGATAACTTCTCATTAAATCTACATCTCTGCAAAAAATACTGTGCGTTGATGGCACGTATTCTGGTAGCCTGTTCCCCCCGGTAACGGTGCCAGAGCAGGGAGGTCACGGCAGGGAACTGCTCCATCATGTGCCACAGGGAAGGGCACACGGGTCCTTTCTCTTCAACACATTTGTCGTGATTTGTTCCTTAGGTATGCAAAAATACGGTAATACAGTCTGAGTGTATTGAAGGATGTGGTAAAACAAGAAAAAAAAAAAAAACCACACAAATTCTGTTGCCTGATAAGCATGAGGGAGAGCACCGGTGCTCTGTTATTTACCACTCAAGAAGGAGATAATTTTAAGAAAAATATTCAATAGTATGGGATGAACAAGTAACATCAGGTAATCTTCAGGTGCTTTAGAGGCTAAGGCATGCTCATCTCACTCATATGAAACCATCTTGCCCTGTATCAGTAAGATACCTCCTGAACTAGCCTAAGTCCTCATGTAGTGAATTAATATCAGGCTTTTACCTTCAGATTTTCCTGCAAAGTTCTTCTAATAATTCTGTTAGAATCCATTTGTCTTGATTTATCCCCTCCCCAGGCCTGTGGATTAGGTGCCTGTGGCAGTCACCCTGTAACAGATTATAAATCAGAATATTGGCATGGGTTATGAAGGCCTGGAAACAGCTGCCTTGTGCTGGAGTGCCAGACGCACTAGAAATAAATTGAGGACTTCATTGACTTCAGATGAATTATGCTGAACGGCCAAATACTGTAGGAATCACAGCTCCATCTAGAGCAGATAGAACCTTTGGTTACTGCTGGCCTGCCAATTTCAAACCCCAAGAGTGATTCTCTGACCTGGACTGCCTGGGATTTTGAGCTGCAATAACAAACTCCTACAATTTCTAATACTAATGCTTTCTTCCCACTCAAATTCAGGCAGTTTATTTGACTTCATGATGGGCATGCCCTTAAAGGGACACCATAACAAAAATATGTAAAACCTATATTTATCTTCAGAAAATAATCAGTAAATATATTACAAATATCTAGTGATGCATGTGCACACAGATTTTTCTTCATAAGCCTGTATCAAATAGATTGGGGCAAAGCTTTTTCCTAGACATAGCTGTAATCATTTTTCATTTAGCAAGTTTGTCATACATGTTCAGTGCTCATGGTTTTGAAGGGTAGGAACCCAGCACTATCAGCCAGTATTCATATTTTCCAGTAGAGAATGAGCAACAGAGGTAGCAGATAAAGCAGATTAAATTGCATGGAAGTCTAATGGACATGCAACACATAATTTAAAAAAAAAAAGAACAAACCCACACATAGGATTTCTTAGCACTTTCGTCATAGTATTATACATATTTCATCATATAGGTATTATTATACTCATTTAAAATATTGGGAGACTGGGGAAAGAGGGTAAAAACCAAGAGATGAGTAGAGAAACAAGTATGGGAGCTTATTTTTCCTGGCTCCAACTCTGTGGTCTAGGAGAAAGTGTTTAGTTTAATTTATGCAAAGGTAAATTATATAAGATACTTTTGATCCTGGCAAAAGATACTGCAAAGAATACTCTGATTTCTGGCAAAGCAGAAAGTTAAAGACATGATATGTGTTCAAATGAGATGTGTGTTTGTCAAAAAGGGTGGAGAGAGGTGAAAAGGGATTCTTTTTAATCCTGGATGATCATGGGCTATTAATTTAAAAACACACTATTTGAATTACAACAAGACTTACAATTTTCCAAGGTAATAGCAATAGAAAACTCTGCATCTAATTTGATACGACTCTTCAGATTTTCTGCATATATTGATATTTGGACATCTGCTAAAATCTAAATGTTGCATAATCCTTTGGGAGGAATTGTTTTTGTGTTCAAATGTTTATTTGTCTAAAAAATATTCACCAGAACTTGGTGGTTTTTTCTGTTCTTACTCTTAAATTATTCAAAAACAAGTCAACAAAGTCCCCTTTTAAATACAAAGGTAAGATTGACATTTTTATGACACACTGGGAAGCAGAATAGCAAAATTGTAGCTTTACACTCTGTTCAGTGGCAGTTGTTTTTTTTTTTTTTAGCTATATTTTAATACTGTCCTTGTTTTACTCTTGTTTATGGTAATGCTGTGTGTGTCTGTCAGCTTGTACGGAGTTACAGCTGACAGTTAGCAAAGAAAATTTATTTCCTTGTAATGGAATCTAGGGTTGATGTACCTTAATTTTTCACTAAAACAAAATGGCCAGAAGAACTTTATTAAACTGAATTTATAATCTTTCTTACCCTGCAGTAAAGCAGTCCTGAAATGTTAGGAGACTAATTAATGTCATTTTGTGTAAATGTGTTTCTCCAATTGTATAAATAACTTTTTCCATAACACTGCAAAGATGTTCTATCAAATATGATATATCCTGCCCTTGCCTAAAGTGCTCCTGTAATAGTCACGAGCACATTTTTGCATGTGACATCTGGCAATTATTTCTCTAGGGTTCGGCAAGCAAGAAGGGCTACATTTTTGTTTCTGAACATGAAATTTAAAAAGTGCGCCTGAAGCCACCCAGAGAGAATTCAGGGTTTTTAGAGAGTAAGATTCTGAAAACTCAAAAAGGATACTTCTGTGCTTTACAAAACCAGACGTTATGCTGATGCAAAAAAACCAACATGACTACTGCCTGCCTCGAGATCTGTCTTATGTGGCACGTCATAGGTGTGTGTTCTGCCATCCCCCTATTCAAAAAGTAGCCAAAGCACTTGCTGGGGAATGAGTCCCAGACTGGCTACGTCACCGCGAGCCCTCTGAGGACACCTAGCCTTATCTCAGTTTCTTTCGACCCAGATGGCACAGTCGCTTTCCCAGCCGTGCTGATGCCTCCGGGCACAACGGGAGGGATCAGCAGAGGTGAGAGGAGGCTCAGGCCTGGTCCCAGGTGGCAGTGCTGCCCTCAGAAGAACCAAGGATCAACAGTTCCCTCTTTTACATCTCCACTTGGCCAGGAATTTGAAATATTTTATGCGGTCTGGCTTGGTTCCTGCTGGACATGCTCGCCTGTGGGAGCACTGGCATGGGGATGGAGCTCAGCAGACCTGGCCAGCTAAGGGACATGGTGGTGGTCCCTTGTGCCTGGGCTCCACTGGCCCCGCAAGATGCACAGTCCTTTCCAGATGTGGTCCATGGGGTTGGGTTTGATCTGTAAAAGTCCTTTTCAGTTACGTCTCGGGTAGCGTAGAGGCAGTGTTGTCCTGGCAGACGAGATGGGCTGGGGTGGGTGAGCATCCTGTGGGCAGGTCTGTGCTAGGGGGCTGGTGTCCTTGGCATGCAGCCTGGACTTCCCTCCACCTGCTCCGCTCCTGAGGAACACCTTGGCCTTGAGCTGTGCTGTGAGTCAGATCGGTTTTGCAGGCGATGTCTGAGCCTGTGGGATGAGTGGGAGGTGTTTGATTGGAAAGCTCTTTCTATTCGCGGTGGTGGGGCTTTGTGAAATTTAGGATATGGCTTTGCCCCAGTACTGACATTCTTTATTGGAAGTCAAAGTTCACTCTACTAGTATGCACAGAAAAAAGGTTAAAAAAGTGGGATTTATTTCTTCAGCATCCCCACATCTAAAAGCGTAAGTGGATTTGTTGTGAAAACTCTGGGACACCGGAGAGCTTCTCTTGTTTCTTGGCTGTGCCTTGGGCTCAGTGAGGCACCCTGGACATTTGTAAAGTGGGTATCCTGTCGCTTCTCAATGGAGTATGTGAAAATCAAAACCATTTTTATGTTCTCGGTGCTGTTATGGAGCAGTCCTGGGAATTGCGAATAAACTTACAATTAATAGAAAATACGAGGTACTGTTTATGACTAAATGATATCATCCTACAGATTTCCAAGTTTGCAAAACAGACGTCGGGCTCTCTAGTCTGGCTTCTGTGATGAATCACTGGTTTCAAATACTGCCATTTATTTTCTATGTCCTATTTGTTGGTCCACAACTCCCCTGGAAATTCACTGTTTACCAAATTGTAAGAGCTGTGTGCAAAATGAAGGTTTGTCTTTTGGTTAATGTAGGGAGTCTGCTGAGTAGGATAGGATCCATAAAAACTGTGTGCCAAGACAGATTCCCTCTCTGACCTTTGCCAAGCCTCTAAGACTTATCTAGTGACATTTTGCAGGTCTAAACTGCAGCCTGAGTAAAGCCTCCTTGTGTTGCTTGTATTTAATCTAATTCGTGCAATATTAGCCATGAAATTATGGACTCTTAGACTCCAACGTGGGCTGTATTTAGTTTTCTAATTAACACTAATGTCCACCTTTCTATTGTTAACCGAGTTGTTAATCTAAAGCTGGTGAGTGTTCGGCTACCCTCAGTGCAGGTATGCTTTGTGGAAGGGTAGGCAAAGCATTAGTATCTTTACATTTTATTTCTTGCTGGTTGGTCAGTGGAAATAAGAGCACTCCCTTCCCGTACAGGTTATTATGAGGATAGGTGTATGATCAGACTGTAGTGTAATGGGGGTTGCAGAGGTGCCTCAGATAGCTTCAGAATATATCCCTGTACGTGTTGTGCATCCCTGGAACCAGAAACAACTTTAAACTATCACTGTTTTCTCTATTCAAATATGTTCACTCCAGAATTACCTTAAGCAACAAGTTTTGCACTGCTGTCTTTTAGGACTTACTTTTCTCGTGTGCGGCTCACAAATCAGTCTTAAAAACGTCTGTCATGCTGGCACACTTGGAAATTGCCTCTTCCCTCTGATTCTCATACTGCAGAACCTCAGCCTGAGGCTGCTTGTGTTCATTTTAATAATTCGACCTATGGCAGCAAATGGTGGCCATAATCAGAGAGGGATGTTCCCTTAACCACAATATTAATTGTAATGATAGCTTTAATTCTTTTCAAGTTTAAATCATTTAATGATGGCTTGCTGCCCTTGCGACCATAAAAAATATTTAAGACCACTTCCCCAGGTGACATTTTTGCACTCTCCCCTCTGCACAGATGACCCCATCCAAATCTGTCTTTCTGTGACTGTCTCTGATGGCTTTGGAATGGGAAATTGTGTATATGGTCACAGACACAGCCTTGTGCAGTTGGAGGCTTGGCATTAGTGAAACAGCAATATCGTGGCCCCTCGCTTTCCTTGAATGTCCTAGAAAACATGGGGTTAAAACCATACAGGTTTCATACTAACAGTGCATTCACTTGAAATGCTTACAGATAGCCAGATCTAGCCTTCCTGTGCTGTGCAAAGGGATCTAGGATGTAAGCCAGGCCCTCGTACTAGCTTTGTCTTCCTTAATGCTCTATGACTGTCTTGCCAGCTTTTGTAACTGAAAATCAACCATACTGAACTCAGCATATATTATTACCTGTCCATATTATGCTACACATAAATATATATGTGTGCATATGTGTACACATACATACACATGTGTATGTATCCTATACAACATATCTATACCTTCAGTAGATTTTGCATAGTAATGTATTTTATTCTCTGTAATGTGTAACATGATTTCATGACAAATGACAATAGCATTTTCCAGTTTATGCTGTTTTTTACACCAATATAATGATAATTTGTCTAAAATAATAATGAAAAAATATTAGCATTGTATTACAGTCAAATTGCCTGGTTTTGTTTGGTTTGATTGGCTCCTAGGGGGGCAAGATTCCTATCCGATGGACATCACCAGAAGCCATTGCATATCGGAAGTTCACATCAGCCAGTGACGCATGGAGCTACGGGATTGTTCTCTGGGAGGTGATGTCTTATGGAGAGAGACCATACTGGGAGATGTCCAACCAGGATGTAAGTATATTGTTATCCGAGTTACGTTCTCAAATAAAGGATCAAGCCGTGAAAGGAAGTGAAGCGTAATGGAACCAGGTGGCTCTGAGTTTTTGACATTGACATTGACTAAGATGTAGAAATGAAAGTCTCCAAATCTCCCTAGTCAGGTGTAAGTTCTAATGAACTTAACAAAAAGCCAGCATCTTTTTAGCAGAGTGTTCTGGACCTCTGAAGGAACATATTAGAGAACTGTATCACGCTGGTGGTATTCTGTGGGATGATTCAAACAATTCCAGTGCAGTGAGGTCATTGCCTATTACATTCCATAGCTTATTGTAAGCAAACCCTCCTAAATTTCTGTTGATCCCCTTTGGTTCCACTTGTATAATATTCTTCAGAAGTTTTCTGTGAATGTCAAATACACAGAATAAATTGCTCTTGGAGCTTTTGAAAACGAGAAGCAATGCATTTCTACTAAGAGTTTAATGAAACCAAAATACCTCTGGAAGTAATCAACAGATAAAATAGAGAAGGAGAGTGATCTGATTAGGATACTTCCAATACAGGCTTCTTTGCAACATTAGTAAACTATCCGAGCCTACAACCCAAGTGATTAACAGATCTCTTCCAATATTTTTTCAAGAAGCATAACATTTCCCCAAATAGGATTTTTATTATATTATTATATATATTTGGGGTTCTTTTTCTTTTTTTTTTTTATTAATCCTTGATTTATTCTATGGGACTTACTTATGAACCAAATTTTCTGAAGTATTGTCACGAACATAAACAGATTTTCCAAGGTGTTGGTATATAACATTACTAGTACTAAATTTAAAAAAATTCGGTAACATACTTGTAGTCAGACATTTTTTCATACTACTTTATGTTAAACAAGGAAAAAGGGAAGAAAACTTCAAATTAGTACCTCTGGAATGCAAGTCTCTGCAGCGATCTATGTATTTCTTTTAATTAGTCCTAAACGTGGGTGTTTTTTTCTGTCCTTGGTGGAGAATAATTAATCGTGGTGTGTAGGCTGATACACTAGTGAAATGCCTTTAATAATAGTTTTTCACATTACAACCAGAAACAGACGTATTAACTTATCTATGTGCCTCTACTTTATGTGTGCTTAAACCATGGTTTTTTTTCCTATCTGTGTTCTGACTGAGAATAGTTTTTCCTGCTTTTGAATTGACTGATCTAGATAAAAAGAAAAGTTAACAGAGTACGGCCTTATCATTTAGAGTACACTGTGTTTTTATTCATGGTGCAGTAGAGACTGTAGGACTGACCAAGAGCTGTTAACCCTAGTGAAAAGGTGGTATCAAAAATTTTCATAACAGTGTGAATTCTGGACTAAATTTTTTTTGTCGATCCAGAAAAATAATAGACAATCTAGACAAATTATAAAAGAAATGGGCCTTCCCTGCCTAATAGGAAGTATGCAGATATCTGTGTGGTAAACTTTTATCATATTTTCTCGCCCTGCAAGATCAATTACAACCAAATTTCTTCACAAGACCTTCTGTCTGTCAGTTCAGGATCACCCATGAGAGGGAGGTTGGTTTTCTGCCAATTGCATCGTCCACCAGAGAGTGTGAAAAGTGTGTGTTGCTAAGGGTGATTAGACAAGAGCTATTCAAGACCTTTAGAAGCTTGGCACAGTTAAGCAAGCACCTTACTAGCTGTAGCTTTTGTTTATGGATGTAGTTCAGTCAAGTGTGAGTTTTGGAGATGCTTTTTAGAGACTCACCTTCCTCAAAGTCACATACTGTATCTTCACTCCCCTACAACCCTGTCTGCATGCCTAATTTAGTGCCTGGTTTACTTTGGAGATAAACCAGAGGCATTGCACAGCAAGACAATTAGTGAATAAACACATTTGTTTAAACACAGAATGTCCATGTTAATGTGGTTCACAGAACTGATAAAGCTAAGTTGATTTAAGTGCCTTTAAGTTTTCAAAAACTTGTATCCTTGTGCAGGTGATTAAGGCTGTGGATGAAGGGTACCGCTTGCCACCTCCCATGGACTGCCCAGCTGCCTTGTATCAGCTGATGCTGGACTGCTGGCAGAAAGACAGAAACAACAGACCCAAGTTCGAGCAGATTGTCAGCATCCTGGATAAGCTGATCCGTAATCCCAGCAGTCTGAAAATAATCACCAATGCAGCGGCAAGGTGACATATTAGATCTTACATTGCACATGAGTAAATGTCTGTGACTTCTTCATCTTCCGTAATTAGAATTTGTTTACTTTGTTGACCCACTTCTTCCACTTTTATCTGCAGCTGTTCTTAATCTTGTAGGCTAAAGAAAGCTTTATGACTATCCATTTGGGAGAAGGGTTTAATACGAATAATTTTGTTACTGTTGCTGTTATTTTTATTAATGATTTTCTATCATTTATTCAAATAGTGAAAAGCTGTTATGCTGGGTTTATTAAACCCATTGTAAGATTGAGCAGAGATCTGTGAGAAAAACCCAAATGGCAGATTTGACCATCATGTGATCGTTCCCTCCTGATCCTAGGTGGTGTTTTTAAGTGCTTAGTGTTCCATAGGTTACAGCTAGCCATGTTCCTAAGTATCTTTCTGAACTGGGTCCAGACACATATCCCACACTCTTATGTTCTGCTCTGACAAGTCACTTTAATCATATGAATAATCTTTTGGCTTTCAGTAGGACTCTCAAATTTAAAAATGCACTTATGTTCCTTGTGAGATCAATCCCTTAAGTAGGAATTAATTTCCAACCTGTGCAAGATTCCTAATTGCATTAAAAACATTCATTTAGAGTCTTGGTTATTCAACACACTCTGGAACACCACTATGATAAGAATTATCTCATTGAGACAGAGTAACTGAAGAGTGTGTTGACACCTAAGGGCATAATGAGGATGTGGTGAAAGAAGAGCTTTGGTTAAGTAGTGAATTGGTTTATATATTTCACAAATTACCACGCTCTTACTGAAGTGATGTGAAAGACGTAAGATTACATGAATGCTAGTGCAAAATGCTGTGTCAGCAAAGCAGGCAAAGTCAGGGAGAAATGTGCTCCTCTGCTGCTTCAGACGCACGTCTTGGAGGGTGTTGCGCTGGGCAAGAGAACAAGGTCTGACATGAGGCCTGCTTCAAAAGGGAACACAGCAAACATTCCTCTCAGGCCTTTACTTGTGCTGAAGCCCACCTCTCTCCATGGCCCCTGAATGGGCAGGCACAGAGGGGCAAATGGAGCAAAGGCAGTGGGAAGAACTGGAGTGACCCTGCAGCCTGCTGTGTGGGTGACACGGACCTTGCCTCCTTTTCCCTGGCCTCTGGCAGTGTGTTGCACCCTGAGCTAGAGGCTGGCCATTCTGATTACCTCCTACTGCCACTCCAGAGATGTGAAAAAGAAGGCAGAGATGGGAGGAGGAAGGCAGCCATACTAATGGGCTTTGCTTTTAAAAATGCATAATAAGAGAAGACTGCTTGCACAGTAATTATGTTTCATTTATTTAATTGGTCAGCGTTTAACACATAGTGAACCAACATGCTTACCAAAGCAATTATTTCTGTTACCTAACAGATCACAGAAATCAAAGAAAAACCCCAACGCTTTTGGAAAAAGACCCAAACTGAACACTGTCTTCTCAGTTGAGCACATTTCTTCTAAACATCTTGCACCCCTATTTGGCAAATGATTGGTGCAAATAATTATTTTGTGGGGATATACTGCAGCAATCTGCTGAATGGGGAAGTTGGGAATTGTGACTATCATGTTTTGCTGTGAGGATTTGATTGCAGAAACCAGGGCTGCATACTGTGCATTCCCAACAGAAGCAAAATATTATCTGTTTACTGGCCTACCAGTTCAGGAGTTGAACCACAGCAGAGCTGAAAACAGTGTTGAACCATCATTTCCAGTTTCCTGTTCATAGCCAGTAAAAGCTGATAGCTGCTAGTGGAGACCAAATTCTGTCCGAGCGCTGTTTGCACCTGCTGGGTTCTGCGCGGGAGCACCACAGTGCAGTATTGCTCGCTCCCATCTCTCTCTTGATCTCCTTGCCTCTGTTTCGTTATATGCTTTGCTGGCACAGGCAGCAGAGGCTGCACATCCATGCCATGATGCCGTGCTGTCTGCCTACGACACAGCGTGGGGGAGGAAGAAGAGCTGCTAACATGGTAGGGGACTTCTCACTGCTGCTTTAGCTGAGCGCTGGGTAAAATGCTCCTCAAGGCAGGCTGCTGCTTTGGCTTTGATATGGAGCACATTGCTGAGGAGGAGAATGTCAATGGTGATTTTTATTCCCTCCCTTTCAACTAGCTTTCCACTGCTACGCCCTCACACCCCTTGTGTTCCCAAGCAGTGCAGTATCTCTCCCTCCGCAGCTCCTCACTCCCCAGTGACAGATGGGGGGCTGTGGCATCTGGATGGTGGGCACACCAGTGTCGGTGAGCCCAAGCCCTTCCCTTCTGGGAAGACACTTGATGCAGTTCAGGAGTGTGTGATCCGTGATCTCTCCATCTCACTCTCCCCCCGTTGGTGTCTGCAGAACAACCCAGGCTATCCTTAAACTTGGGTATGACCAAGAATTAGGTATGACAGCATGAGGGGTGCTGGGCAATCCTACATAGATTTGGAAATCTGTGAACAGCCTCATGTGACCGTTGCCAAAACTGACTAATCTCAGACCTGAGACTTGGCAGAAAAGGTGCAGAGAACTCCACACCCGCTTTGTGCCCTGCGGAGAGGCACTTGTGGCAGGTAACCTGTGCTCCTCCTGCAGCAGGACCGCTCGAGGTCCAGCATCGCTTTCTCGCACACTGACAGGGAAAAATGAGAAGCCAGACTTGAGATTGGTTTGGGTATCCTTCTGCTGTCAGAAGGAGAGGGACAGGCATCGCAGCAGGGGTAAAGCACTCTGCGACTCAGCCCCCAGGGCTTGGGGGGTTACCTCAGCTCAAATGGCTGCTCTCCATTGTTATTTGAGGCTGTAGTACTCCCTCAGCACCTCTCCTCATACCCATAATAAGCAATTAATCTAAATTATAGAGGTCCTAGCTCTCTTTTACCCATGTCTGTGGTGCTACTGGAAGAATGCTAAAGCTTTATGCCCACCATATGCTCGTAGGTGTTCAGAATATACTTGGTCAGGAAAAATGTTTGAACCTGCTGAGGTCTGTTGCGGAGGCAAAGCCTGTCTCTTCTTACAGATTTCAGAGCTGACGTTTGTTTAAAATAGTCACAGCGCGCTTGTATCCTATTTAAAAGCACATTGCTGGAGGTGCATAAGAGATCCCTGTCCTCTGGTACGTTCCTGTTAATGGGCTTCAAGCGAAGGATGTGCTTGGCTGTACGTCTGATTCCAGGCTGTGGCCTGGGCACGTTTTGTACTAATACCTCTTAGGAACACAGGAGAGGAGTCAAAGCCTTCAATTCTGTATTTCCTTTTGTTTCCTATCCCATCTGGCCACTCCATGGCATCTAATATTTTCTTGAAACCCAAGGGGATGTTTTCATCCTTATTGACTGTGTCTTTGCAGACCGCTCTACGTGCTTGTGAACCTTCCGTCGACGAAAGCTCTTTGTAACCTCAGCACAGCGAACGTTTCGTTATGCCTTTCCTGCTGTCTGTTGCGCTTCATCTCTAATTCATGTGAAAATTCCTTTCCCATTCCTTGTAAAGTAGAGAGTGTGGCTGATTTTTCTTGCCTGTTCAAAATTCACTTTTTAATCTTGGTCTTTTGCTAACAAGACCAGAGCTGGTTATGGACACCTGGGTGGTTTGTCTCCTTCAGGCTGCCTGGAGTCACCCAGCTCTGTAAAGGGCTGTAGGAACAGAACTCGGGACACAAGAAGTTGCACAAGTCAGGCAGTTTTGTAAAGCACAACCTCATGACATTTTTATTTGATTTACGTCTTGCTGTTCTTTCCTGTTTTCTGAGCATTATGTTCATTTTTATAACAGAGTCCTTAGGTTGTTTGGATATCTTTAGGGTGGAAGTGAGTTCATAGTTCTTCCAGTTTTGATCAGGTTCATTATTTTTCTTCTCAAGCTTGTTATTTTTTAGTCCACTGTGTATTACTTCACATTTGTGAACATTTCATGCAGATACAAAGCAGATGGAAAGTTTGCTAAACTTGAGTAGGAGAGACAGAATCACTTCACCCACCTGCTAACCAGTTGGTGAGGCTGTGGTCTGAAAGGGCGTATTAAGTGTTGCTTCATTTGTGTGGGGGGAAAAAAGTGTAACTCAAGAGTCACGCAACTGGAAATACTTTGTGTATGGTACAAATCTTAAATAGATTCATTATACTTTGTTTTCTTTATCTGTTTCTTTTTCTTTTCATTTATTTATATTTCTGGGGTTTTATTAATTTATGTTTCTCATTCTGATCTGTTTTATACATATATGACGACTCTCTAGAGTTACAGTGTATATTAGCATTTTGTGCATATGAATCTTACACAGCCATTTGAAAAAATATGTTTAAAGCACTATGTGTAATTAGAAATGCATTTAAAGCATTTCTGCATCACAAAGTGAGTTAAGTTGTTGGAGGATAGCGTGACCTTGAGGTTCGGATACGGGATTCAGTCAACCCAAGTATTACTGCAGCTTTCTTACAGTTGCTGCGTAGGTTCACATGGGTGATGGAGGTGTGACTAAAGGCACTCTCTTCATGAACCTGCTCTAAAACAGGAATAGCCAAGTTAATCCGTTCTGCCAAGGAAAAGGATTTGAAAATAATTAGAAAATGTTTCTAATTCCAACACGTGATTTTTAGAAATACTGATTTTCTGTCCGGTCTGTGGTTGATTTCAAAATTGAGAAGGAATCCACACAAAAAACACAACAGGCTTCTGTATTTGCTTTTGCTTCTATACAGCCTTTTGGTAAAGTGAAAGCCAGTGTCAAGTGTTGCTGCTGTTGTTTCTTTATACTGCAAGCACACAGTTAGGAGGGGAGGAAAGAGATTATATTGCAGAAGGGGGGAGAAAACCACATGAGAATTCAGGATATTTCTTTATTAAGTAATTGTCATATTTTTTGTGTTTATAGCTATATTAATAACTATAAGTGCAAGAATTGCAAGGGTTTGTCTCATATGTCAAATGAAGAAAATAAACAGCTGATAGACTTCCTCTTAAAAAAAGATGATTATTTCACTAGTTGCTCAGAGTTAGCAGCTGACA